GCTGCTTTCATTTTCCAGCAGGATTTGGCACCTGCCCACACTGCCGAAAGCACCAAAAGTTGGTTAAATGACCATGGTGTTGGTGTGCTTGACTGGCCAGCAAACTCACCAGACCTGAACCCCATAGAGAATCTATGGGGTATTGTCAAGAGGAAAATGCGAAACGAGAGACCAAAAAATGCAGATGAGCTGAAGGAAAGAAACCTAAGAAACCTGGGCTTCCATACCACCTCAGCAGTGCCACAAACTGATCACCTCCATGCCACGCCGAATTGAGGCAGTAATTAAAGCAAAAGGAGCCCCTACCTAGTATTGAGTACATGTACAGTAAATCAACATACTTTCCAGAAGTACTAAAAAAAAATTTTTTATTGGTCTTATGAAGTATTCTAATTTGTTGAGATAGTGAATTGGTGGGTTTTTGTTAAATGTGAGCCAAAATCATCACAATTAAAAGAACCAAAGACTTAAACTACTTCAGTCTGTGTGCATTGAATTTATTTAATACACAAGTTTCACAATTTGAGTTGAATTACTGAAATAAATTCACTTTTCCACGACATTCTAATTTATTGAGATGCACCTGTATCTATCTATCTATCTCTCTATACACACAGCATATAAGAGATATTTTTCAAAAAAAAAAAAAAAAAAAATTCCAACCCCAAACATTTGAATTAAGTTAATAAAATGGGAAAAATGACCGGAAAAAATTATACCACTTTATATTATTCCTGTTCTTCAGTCTTGTTATTTTTATTTAACTTTTTATAGCCTGTCTGAGGATCGCTGCATCCTGTTCCATTCTTTTTTTAATGTTATTGAACACACAATCATCTAGATTTGAGATGTATTCGATTTAAGCTAAGGCAGGACAGAAGAGCACGTACCCAGCAGAGCCTGGATGTCTTCAGAGCGCTGGGCTTCTCCACATGTGCAGCACCTCAGAACGATCACCCCACCCAGAACACAGTCTTCGCCAGCCAGGAACGGCGAACCTTGAACACAAACAAGCCAACTGCATTTCAACCATGACCCTCTTTCTACTACAATCAGTCTATATAGATGTGAAGTAGAAATTAAAGCATGTTGGAGGCATCTAAGAAAATCCAGTGATTCGGTCAATGATTTATTAGTTATGCTCTGTTCTGAGAAGTTAATGAAATGAGCGGAAAAGCCATAGATTTCCGTACTTTCCCCTGCCAACCTAAATGACTGAAAACAATTATTCTTTCCAAAGGTTTTGTTTTATTAACCAAATGAGAAAAATTGGGAGCAGAGCTACTTTTCGCTCCTTAATAGGTTAATGATGGAATGAGTTATTTCTGTAACCCCTCACGGAGTCCTGATAAAGAGACTCTGTTGAGAAAGCATGAAAATGCTCATACTTTTCCAAAGAGGAAAAAAAGACCAAAAGATTTTGAGCTGCAAAACGGGCTTCAAGCCCATTCAAATGATTGCATCTCAAAACTGGCCGCAGCATAGGTTTGAAGCACTCAAGCATAACATCAGTCCACAGGAGGGAAGAGTTGAAATTTCACCTCAGATAGGTGCTCGATTTCATTAAAGCCATTCTGATTTTGAATATAATGTTGTGTTCAGCTTGTTTACACAGAACACAGCTCTTTTTATGACACCTCTCAATTAAAACCCTTCAATGAAAACCTGGACGGCCTTCACACAGAACATGGTCTTAGCACCACACTTCAAAAGACACCTTAAAACTGATCTTTATCAAGTATTCCATTAAAAAGCCTTTTATTCTTTTCTTCGGTTTCATCTAAGCATCCCCACAGTGTAATCAAATTTATTACACAGCTTTCAGATACACTTGATTCTGATTGGTCAGTCACAGCATCCTGCAGTCAAATAGTGTAATAGTATAAACTAGTGTTGTAGTCAAGACTACTTAAACCGAGACCAAGTTGAGACCAAGACCAGAGAGTGTTGAGATCAAGACAAGACCAAGAGTTTTAGAGGTTTTGACCGAGTCAAGACCAAGACCAAACAAGCACTTCTCAAATTTGTCTGAAAGATCCACATTTTCTGCCTAAGAAATGTCTGATATTTAATCAATAAATATAACTTGAATATTAAGACACTTTATAGAGCGGTTACCAATCAAATCTTTGCACTGCAGAAGTGGCACAGAAGTTTCATCTGAATTGGTACAATTACAGCTGCATAAATATGGTTGAGACTAATGTTTAAAAAATACATTTTTGGAATTATAGAGATATGATGGAAAAATAAAATGATTTTTTTTGTGGCTAGGTGGCTGCAAATCACTTAATGAGCGAGTCACTGAATCTTTCGTTCAAAGCAGCTGATTCATTCAGTAACGAATTCAGCTGCCCGGAAATGCACAACAGTTCTGCTATGGGTTTGTTTGGAACTGTTTTCGCTGGCGAAATAACAAAAACTTGTGTTTAAAATTGTGTCTAAAATGTATTTGACTTAATATTAACTTGTTTGTTGAATGTTTGCATAAAATCAATATCATGTTTGCAATTGTGCTCATATTCATGAAAACAGCTCTCTTGCTCTTGTGATATTGCTCAATTACATGTCAATTATATTATATAATATAAAAACAAGATCTCATACAAGTAAGTTTTTGCAATCATATCTTAAAATGTTGGGGTATTTGTATTAATTTTGGTGAAATTTTTGACAATTCCCTATTAAATTCTGACCGGGCACAGCAGCATCAAATTAATTTATTTATTGCATTTGAAGCAGTACAAATGCGTTCGAGACCGAGACAAGAACTTCAAAAAATGGTCTTAAGACCAGTTTTGAGACCAAGACCTGTCTTAAGTACTACAACGCTAGTATAAACATGGTGGCACTCCACAGTCTCTTTCTTCTCACATAAAATAATTTCAAATTAGATCGATATTTCAGGTCCACTTATTTAATTTTTAGGTAAAAAAAAGTGATAACCAAACCAGACACAATGCGAAGTTGCAATGCAACAAGGCAACATGCAATAAAAAGTTTGTTTTGGATATTTATGTAGATTGATGCATCTCCTGCAGTTGTGGATTTCCGTGCAACAAAACTATAAAGGTCACAGGCCAAAACCAGCAAATATTCCCACATGTATTTTGTGTGCTACATTCAGTATGAAATCCAAGCGGTCACCCGATTTCACAAGCCCAGAAAAGAAACCAAATGAGCAAAGCTTCTGAACATGAACGCAAGCAACATCTTCAAATGCCCCGTCAACAGAGTATTTATGGCATCTGAAAATAACTGTGGCCAGATAAATATGATTTAACCAAAAACTTGTGGAGCCAATTCAAAAGAATGTTATTGATCCCCAAATCCAAACAAATAGAAAAAAATGTGGCTGCCGAATTTTTGTAGCGCTCATTTCCAGTCAAGCAAGTTGTTAATAATTTTGTTGTTCAGTTTTAACTCAGAGCTGCTCTTACTCACACATATTGTGGTAAAGTGACGCTAGCCTGCTGGAAGAGAGAGAGAGAAAAAACATGAACACAGAGTGACAGAGAGGGAAAGAGAGTCCCTGAGAATCACTCACTGATGAATTTGTTTTGCATAGCCTCCAGTAGGGCCTGGTGTGTGTTTTCAGCCTGCATGGCAGTAGAGCACTCTCTGGCCAACATGGTGCGAATCAGATGCTCTCCAGAGCCTGCAATAGTGCACAAAAGACCCACATTCAATAATTCAGTATTTATTTTTATTTGACAAAAAAAAAAAACATATTGCATAATCTGATTTATTAGTCCAAAATCACTAAGACGTTTCACTGTTTGTATAACTCTGCTTGTCTGTCTTCATGGTGTTTCATAAAATGTTGTTTTCATACTGAATTGCAATTGACGTGTATTAGCATATTAAATTGCAAGTGCGGTTTCTTCATTTGCATGCTAAATTGTGATTGATCTTCCAATCGCAATGTGAAAGTCTCTACTGTCACTTTTGATCAATTTAATGCATCATTGATGAATAAAAGTATTAAGTTTCTTAAAAAAAAAAATACTGACTCCAAACCTTTGAATGGTAGTGTGTAAATTCATATAGCATATATATTAAATTGGATTAGTCAGAATGATGAAAACCAAGTCGAGTTTATGAATCTGCTTGAAAAATGTATTAAAACAAAACCACTCTTAAGAGTCATTTGTTCATTTTAAACAAACCTATTCCTATAAGATTGGTTTTGATACACTAAACTGAGTTCTTCAGGAGCAAACAATCTAACTTTTGAGAGGTTTGACAGGGCAGGTGTCCCCACAGGAACGAAGTTAAAAGAAAATGTATAAAAACAGTTAATATCACTGTCAAAACACAGAAGACTTTCACAGTCATTTGCTTTTCAGCAGCCAGTTTTCAAAAGGGAGGGGAGTGTAAAGAAATGCCTTGAACACAAAATGTCTGGCAGCCGTTCAAGCCTAAGAAACCATAAAGCCTAAAGAAAATAACCGTGTTGTTTCTGTAAACACAAACGCGGGCCTCGTAAAATATCAGGTAACTACAACAAAACTCTGTGCGAGTTTGTTACCATGACAATTAGATGCTAATTTCTTTTCTTTTTTGTTGTTTTAACAAAAGAACGAACGAACGACTGGCTCTACCGTTGGCTCACTATTTTCAAGTTACCGTAAACCCTCTCGTTCTCTCTCGAGAAATGGATGTTACTGGCAACAACACCACAAGTTAACAGTTAATTTAACAAGCAAACAGTGCCATGATAGTGCAAACTCAATTTCCAGTGGAAAGTAAATAAAACTCAACAAACCAGAGATGACAAGATACGGGCAAATGTAGCGAAAGGAATCAACACCAACTCGCCTTTCGCCCTAAGCGAAACCACAGCGAGCGCTGCAGAGACTAACAGGGTTGACCCGAGAGAAAGCAAGCTCTTTGTGTCAGTTTGAAGCCAGAGTGATTGTTTTTCTCCTCCTTATGATAGGAACGCCTTTTAAGTTGGGAAATGAAAAGCAGGTGCACCGCTGGAGCGCACACTCGAGCAGCTTGTCCTCACTGCCATGAGCTTTCAATTTTGAGAAGGATGAAAGAGAAATGCATGCTGAAATGGCCATGGGGGGAGAAGGTGATAAAATGTGTGATTCTGCTTTTGTTTTTGGAATGGCGGACAATCAAAAACAAAAAGGCACAAAACACAATGTGAGTTTTGTGCCTATTGCACACGAGTTTGTGTGATTATAAAGTAAAAATGTTAACAGGGAGCACACATGTAAAACAGCGCTCAAGAAACCTGTCAGGAAAATGTCTGGGTAATTTGGGTAATAAACTGTATATTGCATAAAGAGGAAAAAAGCTTATTTTAGGGCCATTTAAGACCAGATATCAGATCATCCAAAAGTTTGACAGGACAGGTGTCCCCATGGGAACTAAGTAAAAAGAAAATGTATAAAAATAGTTAATCACATTTAAAACAGCGCTTGTAATATTTCAGACCTGTTGAATCAAGCAATAGATATCAAGCAATATCTCAAAAAATCTGTCAAGAAATGTCTGGGTAATATTTACCATCAAAATGAAATGAAAATGAAATTACTGTATATATTGCATTTAAAAAGCCTGTTTTTGGACCATTTAGAATCTTAAGATTTGTTGCCTAATGGTTTCATCTTCATGACAAAAAATGTGCTTCTCAATTCTTTTAATCTTAATATTAGTCTTAATCTTTATATTAAAAAGATTTAAAATGTGTTTTACTTTATTACAGTGATGAGAACATTTGGATAATTGCCATTAACAATAAAGTGACTTTTCAAAGACATAAAAAACATGTTGTGGGTAGGGCATGCTTAATTAGCCCTAAAAATTTGTGTTATGCAAAATAAAAAAATCTATAATATTTTTTTCAAGATGCCACTGTGCAATAAATAAATAAACAAATATATAAATAAATGAACCAAAAAAAACTAACTAATACAAACCAAAAAAACTTTTAGGCTGCAAAGACTGACCAAAATCTCTTTTAAAAAAGAAGTGTGACTGACAGCACCGACAACTTTTTTTTTCATTTTTTTTTAACCAGAGGAAACCTTACATGCTGCACCCCTGTGCAACATGTCAAGCTTGAATGAATCCCAGTCTCTCTTCAATGGGCCAGGTGTGTGTTCACTGCTGGGCTCAGGCCAGGCCAAAGGTGCTTTCACACAAGGGTGCCGCAGGACAAAGGATGAAGGAAAAGAAAGGAAATGTGGCCTTCATCATAGTGTAACACTCTTTGGAATTTGTGTAAGTGATTATGGCACAGGGAAGCATATTAACAGAGGCTACAGTTTGACAATTCAAAGCCAAGCAGAGCTTTTTACAAGCTGTCTGATTGTTAAAAGCAACGATGTGCTTTGTGAAATATTATAATAAAGTTACAGGTGTAGTTATGCTGAAAAGGTTATTGTGCCATGCCGTGGTGTTTAACAAAGTAATTGCAAATTTACTGCACTGAAAAGGGGAGATGGAATAAATTAAACGTTTAATACATGTTACATCAAAGTAATGCACAATACACTCACCATGGCCATATCAGGTATATGCACATATGATTCAATCCTCTACCTCCCCATCAAAATAAGAGACAATTAACATAACCATGGTATAACACAATAATACACATAATTATTTATAATATACAATACTGTTCAAAAGTTTGATGTCAGTAAGATTCAGCCTTGGTGAAGAAAAAATAAAAGTAAAAACACTATATGTTGTAAAATATTATTACAATATAAAACAACTTCATTACATTTTCATATATTTTAAAATGTAATTTATTCCTATTATAGTAAAGCTGAAATCTTCCAGTCTTCAGTGTCACATGATGCTTCAAAAATTAATCTAATATGGCATTTTGGTGCTCAAGAAACATTTCTTCTTATTTTTTATTTATTTTTATTTTATGAAAGGGGTCATATGATGGGATTTCAATTTTTCCTTTCTCTTTGAAGTGTTACAAGCTCTTGGTGCATAAAGAAGATCTGTAAAGTTGCAAGGAATAAAGTCTCAAATCAAAAGAGATATTCTTTATAAAAGTTAAGAGTCAGCCACACCTACCTAAAACGGCTCGTTCTAACACGCCCCCACATGTCTAAGCCACGATGTGGGAAGATTTGCATAACGCCGCCCAAATATTCACGCCAAGAAAGAAGGCATAACTTTTATTCTCGCTGTAGTATTGTTGTTGCCGCCGCTGCCATGTCGTGAAGGCGCTGTGTGTTTCGTTGTGAAAGCGAAACTACTTTGTCTGGCCTTCCAAAAGAGGACGATATCCGCTTCGTCATGCCTGGAGCTGATCCGTGCTGGTCGCTGAGGAAATACATCAACTTCGAGCTGTGGATCGCCGGATCGGTTTCACCGTGGATGAAGCGGAGTCCAGCCCGTGGTGTTTTTTTAACCTTAAACCGCATAAACACATCTCATTACACCAAATAATGTTCTTTTTAGCAACATCATATGACCCCTTTAAGAAATCCAGACATCCTCTATGGGCACAATGGACATGCGTGCTTGTATGTGCTGTATGGAGACGTGAATCATGTCTGTGGCCCATTGACTTGGGCACACAACAATATAAGTGAGAAAATCTTGTTTTATTTATGTGATAGAAAGCATTAGTTTAAAACATGAATAGCACAGCCTTGGGCCCCGCTCACGGCAGGCATCCCAAGTAAAGCAGAAAATCTCCTCTTTTTTTTGCTCTTGAAAGGATTGACATCTACATCAGGGCCAAAGAAAGGGCAGAAATTTCAAAAGTTTCAAGCTACAAATTAGATTTTCATCAGGACTGTATCTGTGCACAATTTTTTTTAACAATAACAAATTAATGACTGTATGAAATCTGTGCAAAACAGAAATCAAAAAGCAGTAAATGTACAGTAATGTCACACTAATATGACTCCAGTGTTTTTGATACCTGAGGTACTCACAGCTGTAGAGTGAAGGCTGATGTCACGGGCGTTTTCAGCCCAGCAGCCACAACCATAGTGAGCAGCCTGAGACAGAAACATTGGAAGAAAAATGTGTTAAATAAGAATATCTGCTGCTGCAGTTATACATAAAATCATTTTATGATTATGATCATTTATTTAATATACAGCATGATGGCCAAATAGAATATGATCAGACTTGAGAGAAAATCAAAGTTCACCTGTCCCACCCGACCCGGGTGTTTCATGGCCAGACCTCCGCTGGAAACTGCAGCCGCCACATTCCCTTCCCGATCCACCACAACCGCACCAACCGTGTCCAGACAGGCCGAGTTATTCTCCTCACCTTCCACCATAAAGTCTCCTACAGGCTCCAAGCAGCCAAAATCATTCTCCTGCACACAAAAATTGCCATTCAATTAGAATTTCCTATCACGCACACAGAAATTAACCAGCACTTTCCTACAGTCTAACATCCTGAGTTCATTTACACAGTGAAATCAAAAATAAATGTAAGTGTCAATGTATCTTCATGCTAAACCATGGCCAAAAAACAGGAACAAAGAGGCTGTGGTTACTGGCAACAGCAAAAAAGGCACATTTCCAAAGCCCAGAATAATACTAGACTAAAACACATTGAACATTGCTTCTCTTGCAATGTTTTTTTTTGTCTATGAAGTTGGCTTTCAGACCCAGCTGGCTACCATAACCAAACTTGAACTTTCTGACAAACCTGGGAACTGTAATACACGTCGCTATCTAACTTGAGCAAATAAAGTCCAATTACATATCAGCATCTGAAAAATGATACTCGTGCTCTAATTTCTAATGAGTAAAGTGGTCATTTTTAAAGGACTGTTTTCATTTGCTGATTGCTGTGTACTTTGGATTGAACGTTGATATGGACCGAAAGAGTTGTAGAGCTGTTTGATAAATTGGCCTTTCCTGAGAAACTGCGTAAGGGGACAGGATGACTTATAATTTATTATTCCATCTTCCCATGAACAGAGTGTCATTACTGGGACATTCTGTAGATCTTCAGACATCAGCTGATTATTATGTGCAATAATCTTCTAATATATGTGCAAACAGGCAAAAACAGAATGTTATTAATATTGATCTCACCATGAGTGATAAATCTGACAAAATCAACTCCAGTACAACATCTGCTCACAGACCTTTCCAAAGAGGAGCATCAATTTTCCTCTCCTCTGTGGGTAGCTGTTTATATAACCTTTATGTCTTAAAAATGATTCTGCTTTGACTCTATTTTGGTGTGTAAATTGAAAATCTTCAATTGAGTTGAAATGTTTCCATCTTTGTCATCTTTTTCTGTAAAAAAAAAAAAAATCAGCGTTTCCATACTTTGACCAATGACCTCCCAATTGCTCACAATTAGGGGTGGGCGATCTTCCCAAAATATCATATCCCGATCTTATAACAACACAATCACGATCCATGATCTGAATCGGGTTCTTCCCAATTTTGAGATGTACTATAGAGAATATCCAGACTGGAACAAGCCTATGACTTATCTATTTGCACAATTTAAAAAACACAGTATTGCATTAAACAATTCGCTGTCAAAAGGGTCTTTAAAACCTGAGTTAAATGTTAAAACACTGCATCCCTGTATGAATTAAATATACATTGATTATTATTAAAGTTATAAAGTGATTCAGTCAAGAGCAGTAAGTGATTTTCTGTCTTTTTTTTTGTTCGATTGACATTAATGACACAGACAGTAGTAGGTTTATTACGCTACTGTCTCTTTAAGACCGAACATACTGACATGCATCCGATTTCCTTCCCAGCTGTTTATGCTCAATTAAGACATAACTTACTGTCTTTTTGTAAATACTAACCAAGACAGACATTTTGACATTTTTTGTGTATATTTGACCGTTTATGCGCACGCCTGAAACCTCAAGTATACTGCCTGCTTGTGTTTAGCTTAGTGTCGGAGCGAGCTCACAGAACGCGTCTGGGGAACAGTCTCTTTTGCAGTTAATAATAAAGCATGTCCCACAGTAGACTGCCTTTTTTAATACTCATGTTACATGATTTGACCGATTTGGATGTTGTTAGGCTTTTAAGGAGTGGCAAAAGCGCACCGCTTTAAATGAAAGGAATGGCACAATGGCCGCTTTATTAACATCCAAACTATCGTATTGACCCGAATATAAGACGTTTTTTTTTTTTCTTGGAAATTCATCTGGAAAAACGCGGTCATCTTATATTCAGGGCCTAGACTTTGACATGTCAATAATACACCCACAACAATTGGTGGCGCCAAATACGCATAAAACGAGTGTGCCATGAAATACGTAATGTAATGCGTGTTGTAAATTCTAATATATGTGCAAACAGGCAAAAACAGAATGTTATTAATATTGATCTCACCATGAGTGATAAATCTGACAAAATCAACTCCAGTACAACATCTGCTCACAGACCTTTCCAAAGAGGAGCATCAATTTTCCTCTCCTCTAGGGTAGCTGTTTATATATATATATGTTGATGGGACCAAACTCCCTTTGTGATTTTAAAACGTAAGACAGTACCCAGATTTGAAGACTACAGTAAGATTTAACTTCTACAGTTAATAAGATTTTGGTAGGCTACTATTAGATGGATAGCCTAAATGTCCTAATTCAGATGGGCTACCTGTTTTTTATTTTTATTTAATGGTATATCAAAAAGTGTATATTTTTTAAATGTGATTGTTGGTACATTTTACCAGTTTTTACCATACTTTCAAAACAAAAATTAAAATAGGAAAAATATGTAATATGAAAATAATTGAAGACAAAATGTGTTTTACTGAGAAAAAACAAGATTTGGTTTTTAAAAAGCCTTTTTCCAAAAGATACATCTGGAAAAAGGGGGGTCTTATAATCAGGGTCGTCTTATATTCGGGCCAATACGGTAAAACTAAGATTTGATTCATCACACTAGCACTGCTAGCTCACATTGAATTGTTTTCAAATACATCACCTCGCATGAAAGACACATAATAGAGACACGTGATATCAGTTGGCCAGTCACAGTCATCTAGTAGGCAGTCACTGCTGTAGTTTTAACATTTTTCCGAAGACATAAAAGATCACAATCTCTACAATTTACTTGAAAAGTAGTTTGTCGATGTCTTCAAGATCAATCATGATATAAAATCATCATATCATCCCACCCTACTCACAATTACTGGATTTTTTCCCACCATTTTATGGAGACTTTTCAAGCAGATTTTCATGTCATGCCATTATTTAATATAATTGTATAATACAATTATATTGTATTATACAATTATATACCTGTCGTCAAGTCAAATTCCTTGTGTGTGTAAACATACTTGGTAATAAAGCTCTTCTGATTCTGATTCTGATAATACACTGTTGATTTTTAACAATACTTAGTATTTACAGTAGATATTAAGACTTAAGACATAAATTCCATATTTCCAAGCCTGAAAACATGGGCGGCACTAGAGCTGGGTTTCTGGGGCATATGCCCTGAATAGATTTAGTTAACCCCCAAATGTTTTTTAAGCACCTTGCGTTTAACCCCAAGTTTATGCCAGGCCATTTGTGGTTTTTGCAAAACTATTCTCTAAGACACAAACCTTGCAAATGTCTGCAAATCCAGTAAATACTTTTTTCCCCCAAAAGCACTCATCATGGGAACTTCTATAAATCAAAACACTCAAAAACTCCAGGCAAGACAATGACATAAAACACAACATTCTAAGATTCCCTAATATTCCCAAGTTTCCCAAAACTGTGGAAAACTTTCAATGCTAAAGTTACGTTTCTATAAATCACGAGTGCACCCACCCACATAACAAAAGTTAAGTTCTGCAAAACACTTAAATGCATTAAAAATGAGCAAGAACCCCTAGACCCCAGGCTATCCATGCCATACAAATGCATTTCATCCACAGTAAAACAATAAATATGGCACTTATAAAATCAAACAAACCACAGGCCACTTAAGAAGAGACTGGGGGTTGTGTTGTTATCTTAATGACCTTTTAATGCATAGCTCTGGAGAAAAGTCTTTACTGAACTAACTTGAAGGAAGAAAGACCATGTGGCATCCCAGAGGCACAGATCATTCATGCAGACAGCGCCAACAGCAATCACTTACTTCAAACTGATGCTATCTTTATCCAAACCATACAAGGTTCGAACACCGAACAAGAGTACCACATATACCAAACCAAGTTAGACCGCAACGTATTTGTCTTTCCTGTCCAATAACATTTTCGCCCTCATTTTGAGACACTGTAATTTGCAACTAATGACCCACGAGTGACCCACATTTCGCTTTCTCATCGGGACCACACAAGCATCACATCACGGACGGATTTGCGCTGGAACCCATTTTCCCTCAACACCTGCATTCCATGTGTACCTGTCAAATCGCTTCCTTGAAAATCTACCAAAAATGTAGGAGAGATGCTAACATGTTCAAGCACATTAAAGGAAATAATTTGGAGAAATAACTTCAAGATGTGGGTGCGGGAGATCGGGTGGAGATGGTGCTGAAGCACCATGGTCTCATATCGCATCAATGATTGCCTTAAAACTACTTAACCTGTATTTTTAGTTACTTTAAAATAAGATAAATGGTCCATGCAGGGTTATTATGGTTACCTAAAACTGAAACTAAAATTAAAAGTTAACTGAAGTGAAAAACTAAACATAAAATAAGCATTTCTCATTTTAATTTAGTTTAACTTGATGTACTAAAATAACTAAACATGACATAAAAATGAATAAAAACTACATAGAATTATACTAAAAATGACAAATACACAAAAAAAATTAATAAAACTTTAAAATGAAAATATAAAATATAAAACGAAATACTGTATTTTAAATAATATAGTAAAATTCATAATATTAATAAAAACAGTAAAAGTATCTCAATGATACTAAAATAACACTGGGTCCATGAACTAAATTATGCATTTGAAACAGCCCCAGAGTAAATGGCTAAAAAGATCTTTTCAAGTTGACCTTTTCATGTCTACCTGCTGAACTCATGCTTTTCAGGGCAATGACAAGAAGCTACAAAAAAGTGTCACAGAACTGTGTCACCCAAGTCAAATCCCTTGTGTGCAGTGCCATGTCAGCAGTGCAGTAAGTATACGTATGTGTGTTTCCTGTGATTGTGAGTATTTGAGGTCTACACACCCCCTTCAAGGTCGTCATTACCCTATGGGTTTCCTCCTCTGGGTATATGTGGTGGTTTTGAATTAGAGGACTGAACAGATGCAGATCCTGTTATCAGTCGAGTAATAATGTCAGAGCAAATGCCTCCGCTGCACTGTGTTTAAGCCTAATTAAAACTGAATGGAAGGGTGGAAACGTACACATCATGGAGAATTTATAGGAGAAACTTGCATATTTAGTTCAGTCTTTTTTTAATCAGGGGGTTTAAAGCCTATGCCAAAAATCAACGGCATATCCTGAATGTTAAAGTTTTCCCTTTTATTAAAAAAGCTCTCAAGAAACTCTCAACATCAAGTCTGAAACAGACCTGACAAAGTTCAGAACACTTTGATGGAAGCTTTGTTTCTATTTCTGAAGTCACTCCGGATAGCCCCACCCATACTGAAATCTCATTGGTCCTCTCCACATCAATCAGTCTATTAAATATCAAATACGGATGTGATTCAGTCAGGTAATGCAGAAGTTTTGTATCTAGTGTGAACAGACAAATGCTGCCTAATTTGAACTCGGTTTTAAACTCAAGGTCCAAACAAGGTTTTAACTTTTTGCCACACCTGACAAAGGTAGTGGCACAATGGTACATTTTTTTAATGTTTCTGTCTGCATGACAATTAGATTATTTATTGTAATATAAATCATTAATAATTCATCCCAATATATAATAATTAAATTAATATATTTTATATTTAAAATTATATTTATACATTTTGTATAACATTATTATTAGTAATAAATAATGTAATAATTGAGCAGGTGTTATAGACCTTGTTTGGATGGGAGAAGCTTTGCTCAGAGAGATTTTTTACCATATTATCATTTTTAAATGTGGCCAATATCAGATTCTAGTGTGAATCAATGACAGTCCTGAACTAACCCGCATGTGCAAAAGAACGAAAACAAGATGTCATGAAGCACGCTGTCTCATAGAAGAAAACAAGGCCACTTAAGTAAGCATTTATAAGCTGATGTGCCACGAAAGCCAGCTAATTTGTGAGCAGGTGATAAGGAGGATGAAGATGAGAAGAAAGAGAGCAAAGGCTTTAAATATTTACCGTACGACTCCCTGAAGTTTAGCTTGTATAGAGCTGTCAGTGTAATACGCCATAAAATAACATCACACTGTCTCTCTACTGACTGCCTCCGCATCTGTCTGTCATATTCACTGAGTGATCAAAGACCTACCGGTATGTAAAATCATTGGATTGTCTCCTGTCGTGCGGAATAATGACGAATGTCAATCTAGAGTGATGTAAAAGTCGTATGAATTACGATTATGACCGTTCAGACTGTGGTCGCATTGCAAAACATCTGATCTGAATCAGATTTAGGACCACCTATGAAAGTGGCCCAAATCAGAATCGAAAAGATCGGATTCCATGTGGTTTGTGCTGTTCACACTGTCATGAAATCTGAGTCACATATGAGCAAAAAAATTAAATCTGATTTAGGCCACATTTTCCTGCAGTGTGAAGGTAGACTTAGATTCACTCACATGTTCACATGACTGTCTTTTCCTCTTCGTCTCAACCTGCTCCGCCAGCTCCATCTTCCTCTTGTTCCTCTTGTAGCCTGACAAACTGAACTCTGTAAAGTGTTGAAAAAAGGTGTGGCAATCAATAATAGATATCACTCTACTGCCTATCCAAAAAACTCTGTGTGTGTGTGTGCCAGGACCCACTAAATGCTGACAACTGTTTTGCTTCTGTGGCCTTATTGCTTTGATTATTATTATTCTTCATGATAGCATAGTGCAGCAAGGGTGTGTGTTTGGTGGGGGAGCCTTTATTCACATAATAAATCAGTCTGTTGGTGGAAATGTGGTTGAAATTCTCAAAGTCTCCCTAAATAATGGGACATGTGTTGGAGTGAGGTCATGGTTTTGGCATCAGCTTCCAACACTGACAACACACACTCTATCTCTGTCTGACACAAACTGGGAGTCGGCATGGGGCCCTCTATTAAAGTATAGAAGCCATTGTTTAACAAACGCTGCATTCCACTCCTGTGAAAATTTCTTAATCAAAGAAAATGAATCAATGAAACGGGCACAATTACGTCATTTTGCAGAATTTAATGGAATGCAATTAGAGCTTGTAAAAATAACAGTCAATGAATTAAAAATATTCCAGCAGATGAGATCACATGCCTTCTTGCCAATCACTATTCAATAAAATGATTACGTGCCACCGACTTACAACTGAAATAAAAGGCAGTGGTTTTGGTAAAAGCCTGAACATAGAAAGCTTTCAAGCTATTCCTCATCTAGTATATTTCAATAAAAACTGTACATAACCTGTGGGGAATTCAGTAAAAAGGACAATAAGAATTAGATTTGAATACAAGTTAGAATACAAGTGCTTGCAACAGAACACTGTATCAGATCACTTTGTCACTGAGAATTAGTGAGTGTCTTGTTTTCAGTCGACTGTGCAACGTGGCTAAATCGTTAAATGTATAAAAGGACAAACAAAAAAAAACGGTCCCACTTTATATTAAGTGGCCTTAACTACTATGTACTTACATTTAAATTAATCATTTGGTACAATGCACTTATTGTGTACATAAATGTTTTACTTTGTACTTATATTTGATCTGTAATTACACTGTTGACCCATCCCTTACACCTTAACCCACCCTTAAACCTACCCATACCACCAAACCTGTCCCTAACCTTACCCGTATCCCACCTCAATAGCAGCAAAAGTGTTTTGCAATAGAATATGAACACAATAAGTACAGTCATGGCCAAAAGTTTTGGCAGTGGCATAAATTTTGTTTTGCCAAGTTTGCTGCTTCAAAAAAACGGTCCCACTTTATATTAAGTGGCCTTAACTACTATGTACTTACATTTAAATTAATCATTTGGTACAATGCACTTATTGTGTACATAAATGTTTTACTTTGTACTTATATTTGATCTGTAATTACACTGTTGACCCATCCCTTACACCTTAACCCACCCTTAAACCTACCCATACCACCAAACCTGTCCCTAACCTTACCCGTATCCCACCTCAATAGCAGCAAAAGTGTTTTGCAATAGAATATGAACACAATAAGTAGTCATGGCCAAAAGTTTTGGCAGTGGCATAAATTTTGTTTTGCCAAGTTTGCTGCTTCAGTATTTGTAGATTATTTTTCCACATGTATCTATGGTATACTGAGAAACAATGATAATCATATCATACATTTTAAAGGCTGTTACTGGCAATATTTAGTGTTGACACTTGTTCTTCATAACCTCTGCAATTCACTCTGGCATGCTGGATATTAGCTTCTGGGCCAAATCCTGACTGATGGCGATCCATTCTTGCCTTATTAGCTCTCTCGGAGTTGATTTGTGGGCTTCTGCTTGTCCACTCGCCTTTTGAGGACTGACCACAGGTT